AAAGAAAACGCCTTAGCGCGCAGAGCGGTTGTTTCGAATAAATATCTAACAACATAATCCATGATTTTTGTTTAGCATTGAAGCATTCCATGTACGTACAAATTTTAATGTTCTAAAATCACAGAAACAAATATAACTAAATTGAATAACCAATTAATGTCTACAATAACATTTATTACCTTATATCCATTTTTTTTATTTGACGTTTATACAGCATGAGAATAGCGTAAGGATCTTCCCATAGTAGTTGGGAACAAGTATTACCATCTATACAGTCTTCCATTACCTGATAACTAAAATAGCTTTACATTAATTCATTGCATATTGTTCCAAACATACATGAAAATCTAGAAGACTAGAGAAAGCAGACTAAACTCCTATTTTGTCATCGGGCTATATAATATACTGGAGTGAGCCTTTCGCGTAAGAACTAATATGTAGTTTGCGGCCAAAGAAATGCAATAGCAGACGTCTGTGTTCTTTCCACATTTACCACCGTTATGATGGGAGATATTATAAAAAAGACAGACATCAAACAGATTTTCTCGTCTAATGTAAATCTTTCTTCTCCGCAGTGGGCAACCACCGCTCCTTTATGGCTCTCACCAGTATGTTATATAACCTATTTAGCTATAATTACGAATTATAAATACTAAATTGGATTATATAATAGTGTCTGTATAAACATAGTCAACGTTTAATCGAACATTTGTAGAAATCGATTAATTAATTGAAACATAACTTACTTTTTATTAATATCATAAATTAGAAGCGATCCTTCTGCACTAGCAGCTACTTTTGTTTCTGTAGGGTCTAATGAAATTGACTAAATCAATTTCTTACCGCTATAAATTGTTTCGTTTTCTTCCGCAGAACCATCATCGTCAAGTGTATTTTTCTGTATCTAAACAAAAACGAACTTTTTACATACTACATTAACATAGCATAATTAAAAATTTTCAATCTTACTCTTATTAAATTTGAAGAACTTGATATAATATGTTGCGTTGTTGCTTCTATGTTCGAAACGTGTTCACCATATACATTGGAATGTGCTTTTAAATGTTGGAGATAATTAATGTTATTCCGTGATTCAATTCTCCAGTGCCGAATACTACCATCTCTGCAAGAATTTTTGTGAAAAATAAAAAAAAGAAATGAACATAAAACAAAATTTATAAATAAATATTTACACGTGGCCGCTTATAGTTATATCATTGCAATAAGCAATGCTTGAAAATTGACAGTTACAAGTTCCATGAATCATGTTTCGCGTAATGCTACCGTCCTCTGCTCGATTACAAACTGAAAGAGTCTTGTTGTAATAAAACCAAATTGCATTTTTGGTCATTTTTAGGCATCTTTCCTTTATTCTCATGGCTCTCATATTTTCTGTAGAATTTATAACTAATTTATATATAAGAGGCCTATAAGCTATTCCATTTTTCCAGTTGTAATGCATAAAAAATTTAGAATTATACGAAAATAATAGTGGTTTACATCTGTAAAAGAAAGTAAGACGTACGTTCTTTAATGTGATCTTGTGTAAAATCGTGAATATTTTATGTACTGATAATATGTAAATATTAAAATGTATTTTAAAAAAACATGCTTAAAAAGTTAAATCAAGTTTTGCACAATTAAAAATATGACAAAAGCTATGACTTAACGTTTATATGCATGAAAAAGATTTATCAACATATATTGTACTTTATTTGAAAAAGAAATATTTTTGTTATCTGAGAACACTTTTATTTTAATAATTGCTTTAATGAAGATTAAGAGTGTGATTTTTTATCGATTTATTTTGTGCAAAAGTACAGAGAAGATTGTAACGTCGACAGTTATAATGTATAAATTTCTGATAGAAATTGATTGATTAAAAAATGAAAAAGAAAGCATATTATTGCTGATGGGCATGTATGAGAGAATGGAGATGTGATGTAAATAATCCGCGGCAAAGACAGATAGAAGAACTGTCGAAAATACATATGCTGGCAAAAGTCGTTACTTGGAGAAATATAGTATTGAGAATCATTAGCGAGCATGTGATTTTAAGACAGAGCAGGAACAATACTATAAAGCAAAAATTATGAAAAATCTGTTCGATAGATTACGTGTTACTAATAAAATTCTAGAATAAATAGAAATACAAATAAGAATTAAGTTATATTTATCTTACCGTTCACAAAATTTTTCTGGCATCTGATTCGTAACAAGCAAATGGTTACTTTTTTTATCTAAGACCTCTCTTGATATTACATTAAATTTTTTGCATACACTTCTGAGTTGTAGTAAAGTATATACATCACATAAATTGAAAATTATTAGCAATATTTTGTCCGGAAAAATGTCTAAGAGAGACATATTTGTCTTTTTAATTGGACGCTATCACACGAGAAT